TGTGGTCCTAGTACGAGTTAAAGAAGGGAGAAAGCTTGCCTTATGCCAGGACAATTAGCAATAGCAGTCATTTCTTGTTTTCTTCATCCTCCTCCTCATCCCTACAATGCTCCTGAAGTTTGCCCCTCTTCCTTGATGAAAGGAGCGTTCTAGAGATAGCTGTGGAAGTTCCCCGCGTTGAGGTAATTCTCTTCTGATTTCCTTCTGCGCAAGACTCCGTGAAACTGGCCTTGGCAAATAGGATAATCTGTCCCTTTTGTTTCGGAAATTTCGAAGTTATTGTATCTTAGAGTGGATTGTAAATACAGTATAGTCCATGTCTTAAATCTGTGGTTGTTCTGTTTCAAAGTAAATTAATTTTCAGATTTACTTTTCGTTTTTTCAATTTCTTCTTCTCTGTTATGGTTCTAAGAGAAATTATGTTAAGCATAGTGGTGTCTTGTTCAAGAGTAATTTGGGAGAATCTACCCACTGTTTTGAAAGCAAATAATAGCTGAAATTTATCTGTTGAATTGAGGTACGTGTCAACCTTAATAATGAGAAAAGGCAGTGGGAAAATACTTTCTAAAGACTGTGTTGGTCCTTTCTTTAAAGCTAGCTTGGTGATACAAAGACTGTTGTGCAGTGTATTCGTTGATGTATTTATATTAACAGTGAGATATGTTTTTTAAAACTTTGAGCGTGTACTTGGTTTTTGTCTGTATCACCGAAATCAGTTAGCCAAGGCACAAATGAGAAGCACTCCCCATGCTCTTAGTCAGATTTGTGACTTGTAAATTTGACTTAGTTATTCTGACTGTGGTGCTGACTGTGATTTTACTGCGATTCAGCCATCTCTTGATGGCTTTCGAACTTGCAAATATGTCATGCAAGGCAAGTTTTAGTCCAACAGGGTTTATTAAGTCAAGTGCAGAAGTGCACAAATCTGGTCACTCTGCTTAAGACCAGCACGAACTGAAAAGGCTCAGAGAATTTTGGAAAATGCAATTCAGAGACATCCTGGGAGGCAAAAACTTAGTAACGTTACTACATTATCTGAATTTTTACTGTTATACAATGTATGTAGTTGTTTCTGCCTCTTGTAATGAAGAACTGAATACAGTCAGAACTGAAAATTAACCTTTTCATGTTGCCATTATGTAACTTTTCTCTGCTCTCTCTGCTTAAAGGAAACTGAAATGTCATTTGTCAGAAGGAAACTTCCTTTTCCTCCTTTCCTCCTCTATACCTTTTCATACTCCATACTTTACACTGTTTAAGGTTCTACGTGTTCCATGCTATTATCTGTGCAGGCTTTATGCAAAACTAGGTAAACATCTTCCTTTTTTATCTGACCTTCAAACCCTTGTTCTTTCAAGCTGACTTGGCACTGCTGGTATAGTTATAAATAATGAAATGTCTACATCTCTGTAAAACTTAAAAATATCTTATTTCAGTCAGTCTTCCTGTCAGTGCTGTTCAACACATTTGGCTAGTTTTTCCCTTTAACATTGTGCATTAAAATATCCCAGTGTAAATTTTCTCATTCTTGTATCCTCCAAATCCCTCCCTACTTGGCTGAGGAACCAAAAAAATGTTCCTATAGTAGAGAGAGACAGCTATTTATTTCACTGACATTTTTCAATTTTTAACCAACATTTTACATACTTTTTTTGTCCCTAATTCTTCTAATAACTGCAGTTCCAGAAATTGCATGTGTGGAAATAGGCTAATTTTGTTAACACCCGTGAACCTGTAGTCCTAAAATAGCGAACCTCGTCTATCTGGCCTTGCCTTTGTCTTTTGGACAGGAATAAGTTTTCAAGCCAGGTATGGTGCTGAATAAGAGGAGATACTCACTGATGTTTGAAATGTACAAAGCACAGCAGAAATGGTCTGCAGCTTTGCACAGCAAGAAATTTAAAATATAGCAAAAAAAAAAAAAAGCTGAGGTAAATAAAGTGAAATGTTACTGTCACAGAATTAGCAACTTCCAAGCAACAAGCTTCAGCTTTGTTTTTATTTTTTTTTATTTTTTAGTAAGCTACACTTGGGAAGACTCCATGATTTTGATTTTTATTATAAACCAAAATGACATTTTAAAATTAATACATTTCATGCAACTTAATTTAAGCAAGACTGTCGTCTTGTAAAAGGCTGCTCTGCTTATTATTTCTTATCATTCTTCTTTCCCAGAGGCTTTCATAGAAACATGTCAAGCCATTATATAAAATAAAATTCAACAAATGTGTATGTATATAATTTATTAGGGCAGAAGTCTGTGCTCACATGAGGGAATTAAGTCAATACTCTCCAGAAAGATGCAGGGCGCCGCTATGCGCAGCAGGTCTCATGGTGCCTGTTAGCCCTTTGTTGTGATGCTTTAAAGCCTTCCCTAGCCTGTGTGGGCAGCACCTGGAAGCTCCGCGCATAGGAAAGCCTGAAGAGAGCAGCGGTGAGCGTGGCACTGCCTCTTACGTTCACCAGCTCCTGATCCTTCTGGTACGGTTTGACCGTATTGGATCAAACAAGCAAAGCTTTTGGCCCCTAGATTGATGTTTCATACTGACACCTCACAAAAATCTATTTATCCGGGATGAATTTGCTACATGAACAAGAGTTTAGCCTAATCTGTAGCAGATAAAATATGGATGATTGGACATATAAGTCATATATGGCAGATCAACAAATATGGACGACCGGACAGATAGGTCATCAAACCACTTTAAAATAAACCTGAGCATAAAGTCAGGCATTCTTAAACTAGGAAATGTCAGAATGCAAGTTTTCCGTGTAATTCAACAAGTCCCATATTCATGCATCATAATAGTTTATGCAACTATCTAAATGGTTTGCATAGTCACCGTCTTTATTGTTTAAGTGTTACACAAGGTGCTGACTGAATGGCTACTTAATATTTTCTTTGTTTTCAACATGTAGCCCCAGACCGGCTGATTGCCTAACATCAAAACCAGTATTAAATATAGCATTTTACATCTTCCTCATTTTTGGCTTTTTCTATCTCTGGCTTTATATATAGCACTTAAATGGTTTCACAGTGGTGAGGTTACTTACATAACATCTCTTTGAGGATGGGAGATATCTTTGTTTTCAAGGGGGAACACTGCTACATACTGTCATAACTGTCAAAACTAAACATTAGCTGGAGCTGTGCAGACTGAACTCCAGTTCTCGATTCCATGCTGAGCATCCAGAAGATGAAAAAAATGCTCTTGGAAAAAATCTCTGAACGGTCAGCATTGTATAGGAACACTGGGGAAAAAATTAGTAGCCAACCTAACCAGATTTAGAAGACACCAAAGTTATTAAACCTTTCATGAAAATTGATAGTGATTTAGAGAAGGCAGCCCCAGACTATTACCTGCTATGAGGAAAAGGCTGGCAGGGGTCCGCCATCCTGTATTTGGCAGCAGCCTTGCCAGTCAGCACGTGGCTAGTTCTGAACTACTGCCGCACATGCGGGCTGTTGCCTGGGGGTGGGGGGAAGCGTGAGGGTGAGGGAAAAGATGGGGTTTTGGGAAGGGCGTTTGGAAACGAGCCAAGGGACGCTGGTCTGCCTGCCGCTACCATGCTTCACTGATTCCTCTGCTTACAAACCAGCTTGGTTCTTTGTTCAGTCCCGAACTGTTTTCCTTGCATCTGCCTATTCTACCATAAATCAGGCAGGGAATGTGGCAGACTGACGACATAGTTTTCCTCTCTTCCTAGGAGTGACCATCCTGTGTACTTAATCAGATGGTTTCTCTGGAAAAAATAAAGCTTCATTTAATTTAAGACGCATCATAACACACACAAATACACGCAACAGCAGTAAGTTGAAGTACCACAGGCAATCTTAATTCCAGTATTTCTGTCTATTCAAGTGGTGGAATTTCCAAGCTGTTCCTCAGCTTGGCAATTTTATATGTATGTTGTATATTGTTTTAAAAAGATAAACATAAAATTGAGGGAGAAGGAAGAGAATTTACTATTTGGAGTCATATTGATCTTTTATAGACCCTTATCTCAGATCTTTATTGTTAATGTTACTAGTTATGACATTAGTTCTGATTAAAAAAAATATTATATTCTCTACAAACTAGTGTTTATGCAAGGCATGACAGGGAAGTAGATTCTGCAGTTTACAATGGGTTTTGCAATTGCCTTTAAATTTCAAAGGAACATGGGCACGAGGATTCTGGCTTCTGCTCTATGTCAGGAAAAGAGAAACAGCCTAACTAGGTCAGAAGAGACAGATATCTAGACTTATATGTGGTTTCTGATAGATTGGTGGATACCAGAGGAAGTGTGCAAGGCAACTATGTAGTGATAATTTCCTGAAATACACCTCCAACCTCGCAATTTATGCAGCTCCTGAAACTCCCTGTACCAAAGGCCGTCATTGACTTATAGTAGATTTTTCTTTTTATAAATTGGCCAACCGCGTTTCAAATCTGTGTACGTTTTAGCATCTAATCCCATGATGTGGGATCATTAAAGGAATTCCAGAGTTTTAACTCTCCGCTGTGTGAAACACCTTCTTTGAGTTCCATCCCCCTCCCCGCCCAGCGCCCTGAACCTGCCACTTGGTTCCCTGCTTTCAAGCTTTTATTTGGAGGCAGAAATTATACTTTAAGTACTGCATCTCCATTAGCAAAAACAATGCTGTGCAGCAGGAGCAGATCTGTAGAGCAAAACAGTTCATGATGAGCACCTACCGCCGGTAGAATGCTCACTTCAGGAGTTTGACTTCAGAGTAGCTCTAGTCTGGCTTCCTGTGGTGTGAGCAGCTACTAGAGCTTGGAGTACATCTTTTGGTTCAGTTTCATTGAAAAGGAATCTAGTTCTGGATGCATCTGGACCAGATGCAAGCCAAGGTTTGGTAAATGGGGATGACTGAAAGATTCACCTCAAAAGCCAATGTATGATCCAAACTAAAACACCTGCGCTGAAGCAATGAAGTAGGCGATTGTCATCGAAACGACAGGCCCCTCTTTCCC